CGTAATGCGGGCTCTGAAACGACAAAAAGCTCCTGGCCTTGATAATCTTTCTCCGGCCTTATTCAAAGATGGGAGGAACATAGTTGTCACCCAAATTCTCTCACTGTTCACAAAAGTATAGAGCGATGAGAAAGTTCCTAACTCATAAGGAGAATCTGTTACGGTTCCTATTCACCAGAATGTCTCTCGTAGTGAATGCACCAACTACCGAGAAATCTCACTTATCTCTGTTGCGTCCAAGCCTTTTGTGTCCATTATGCTGCGTAGGCTCCCAGTTACCCGCGAGAGTTTGTGTTGTGAGGAACAGGCTGGCTTCCGTTCTGGCTGTGGTTGCATCGACCAAATTTTCACGTTGCGTCAAATTCTCGAGCAACGTCATGTTTACCGAAGACCAGCAATGGTGATGTTTTTAAATATCCGAGCCGGTTTTGACTCAGTAGCTAGGTCCTCACTGTGGAACTGTCTGCTACGGAACGGCGTTCCCGACAAGTTTGTCATACTCTTGAAAGAGTTGTATAGCGATACCTCTGACAAAGTCAGAGCTTATGGCTGGCTTCCTTCTTCTTTTCCTGTTACCGGTGAAGTGTGCCAAGGTTGTCCTATCTCGCCGTTCCTGTTCAACTTTACCGTCGAAGATGTCCTATATCGCGCACTGGAAGCAGCCCAGAGCTGCGGCGTTGAGCTTCTACCCGGGGGCAAAGTCGGGGACCTGGACTATGCTGATGACATCGCTTTACTGGGGGACGACTCGCAGGCTATTCAAACCATTCTGAACCGCTTAGGGATAGAGGCATCTGACTACGGTGTGTATTTTGCTCTATCCAAGTGTAAAGCTTTGCTACAGGATTGGCAGTCGCCTGTGCCTACGCTCACCATTTCGGGTTGCAGTCTAGAGTTCGTTAACAGTTTCACTCACCTCTGGAGTTGCATCACGGCTGATGGCGGTCTTGGCGATGAAATTTGACAACGAATTGCCAAAGCTCGCCTTGCATTTACTAGTCTCAAGCTCAAAGGCCGAGTGTACAATGCCACAGTTCGTGCTGTCCCACTGTACGGCTGCGAGACCTGGTGTGTTCGATCGAAAGATTCGAGACGGCTGTCTGCTTTCGACAACCGCTGCTTGCGTTCGATTGCTCTCGTATAGTGGCAGCACCATGTGAACAACGCGGAATTTAGAAACAGTATCACGGGAGCGCACAGTCCTTGTCTCCAGAACATAATCATCCAGCACCGCTTGCGTTGGCTCGGTCACGTACTGCGCATGCCGCCCCACTACCTTCCACGTCGCGCATTATTTGCACTTCCTGGACGCGAATGGAAAAAGAGCTGCGGCGGACAACCGATGACCTGATAAAGGAGCTGAAGATTCTAACTTCTTGTCTGTTGTCGGTTGGATCCGTGCGTCTCCCAGGCTGGGGACCACGTGAAGCGGATTCCCAGTGGTTGGAACTCTTGTAGGATATGGCTCACCATAGGAGTCAATGGCGTCAATGCTGTTCTACCATCTTTTTATCATGTAATTTTTAATGTTGACCAAAAATAAAAATAACCAGAAAATCTCAAAACGGCGTTTGTGAAACTGAAATCTTTTTATCTAACGTTTTCCTCGTTAAACATTTTATTCTCCTTTCCATGGTCCGGATGGTACATTTGTCTGTGTACAGACTTGTGAATATATATATATATATATATATATATATATATATATATGCTCTACAGAGTTCTGGCCTTTTGTATTCCTTCGGTTGGCTGGGCGCATGACAGCTATCAGACAATCACAGTCTCATAGGGCAGCAAAGCAGCCGTACAACAGTAACGCTACTTAATAGCGTGTTCTGTTCGTAGTAGGCGTCCTTGGCAACATCAGAATTGCAATCGATGGGGTCATACTAAAATCACCAACATACAGCGCCTGGTACTATTTCGTGAGTCATACCTTGTCGATGTCGTCCGATGGCTGCTTATAGGAATCCAATCAGTCAACCATGGCTCGGCCTTGGAACTGATGACCATGCCCACCCCCAGCTTGACCACGGGTTACCGCATCAGCGTCTCCGGATGCGTGCAACCAATGGCAAAAAGACAAGCCGGATGCAGTGTGTTCAACAACCAGTTAAGGGTCAGAGAGTTGTCCTGCTTTCCGCTCTACAAGTATTGTCAATAGTTTCCAGTTGAGGGTCATTAATTTTGTTTTCGGACACGCAACACACGTCAATACCCGGGGTGTGCAGCGTGTGTGCGAGTGCAGTCTGTTGACCTATTTGTTTTAGAGTATGAATGTTGAACCCCACCAAGGAAACGGGACAGTGTGGTCCTATAAGGAGCTGTTGGCGTTTGGTGTCCAGTGGGTGGTGCGGAAAGGTAGCTTCAGATGGTATGACTCCAGTGGCATTGCGGCTGTTGTCATTTAAGCTGGGAATTATAATATGAGGTTGTAGAAAGTAGAAGTCACGATTAAAATTCACGCACAATCTTTGCCCTACTCACAAACATCCAAATTTAATCTACTATCGCCCATTGGACATTCGAAGGACAGATACTTTAGCCCATTGGGAAGTGACGGGTGAGTGAGCCAATCTGCAACACCAGGACAGGTACTGTGAGCCCATTGGCAATACGTCGCGCACCAAGCAGAAGTCATGTGTTAAAATTTGCGCACCTAATCGTCAGCCCTCGGTAGCTCAGTGGTAGAGCAGCAGACCGGAAATTCGTGGACCGGGGTTCGATTCCCCGTCGAGGCACATTATTGTGCGTGAATTTTAATTGTGAATTCTACTTTCTACAATCTTTACCCTACTCACAAACATCCAAATATAATATGAGGGTTAGTAATGTGGGGGTAGAGCACCAGGCCATAAGCGAGGACACTCGGGATCACCACCGAAGCGACGACGGGTCCTGCAGAGAACGTAGACAGAATCGGCGCAGCGTTTGTAAGTACGCTGCATTGGATTTCCTAACCGTGTGCTTGCATGCTAAGTCCCTTTATTTCAGGTGGTTGGTTTTCAATTTTGTCCAATAATTTTCTCTCATCTTATTGTCTATCTGTGCTATCTTCCATAAGCTTGCACACGTCGCTGAAGCTAGTTGTAGTTAATTTCGATAACAATTTCGCGTTTGTGGCATTTAAAAAAATATGTTTCCTGACCTGTTGAACTTATCGCGGGTTTGTTCGTAATACGCCCATTAAGTGAAGAGTTATGTCTCCGTATCTATATGCATTATCCGATTTATTTTATTTTATCTTGTCGTTTCAAGTGAATGTCTGTTGCTTGATATCCCCGGTGTGGCTGCGCTTGATGTGCATGTTGACAAGGTGCCTACCTATCTGTTACCCACTACCTCGTCCATACTGTCTCTAGGAAATAGTTGGTCGTTGCTGGAGGGGACGGGGTGCACGGTCCTTGTGGTCGTGCTAGGCTCGAAGAGTGGTTCCATGCACTCATTGTGGAGCGGACTACGGTCCGGCCACCGCCTTGTGTACGCTTGATTCCCAACTACAGCGTGCTTGTTTGGTTTGCCTGTGAAGGAGTGTGGGCCGGTTCCGTTGATGAAACGTGGCTCCCATCCACATGTCTCCCGGTCTTATTCTTTCGGGTTTACACTGGTTATGGGTTGTGTGGATGGAACTGTGGGTGGTGCAGCGTAAGCCACCCATGGTCCCTCTGTAGATGCAGGCGTTCTGTGAATGACCACAGCGACAGGCAAATCAGAAACCGGATGCCGCCAACCAATGGGGGTACAGAGGGGAGTAAGGAGAACAGGTGGAACATAATGGAGGAAGGCGCCACCAATAACATGTTTTTGCTCACCCGCCCTACTGTATGCAGCGGATAAAACGATTGATAATCTGCGCTACAGCTGATGTGGTTGGAATCCAAGGAGTTAGTCAATATTGTACATGAGCTGAGATACTGCTAGGACGCCCAGACTTAGACAGAAAAACATTGCCTTTGGTTCAAAAGCCTATCCACAAGGTGGCGACTAGGTGACAGTGATTTGGTTTTGCAAAAATGTACACCATTCCACTTCCAACCCCCAACCTGGAGGACCAGGAGGCGCTGAGTTTTACTGACCTCTAACCATTGGCCAACCTAGTAGAAGTAACTCTCAAGTTGCCCGGAGGCACCAACCATTATAGCTCAATGTGTCCTAGAGGTATTCAAGCCGTCGCACCACGTTAAGATCCAATCTCGTTGCGACGGTCCATATGTGGTTGATGCTCCGAGAACCCATACGATACTCTTGCTTGTCTCAATCGCTTACAGGGTGCTATTCACGACTTTACCATTGGTACGTTTGCTCTCCTGTCCTAGTTAGACCACTTGTCTGAGGTGTTTCTGGCGCCCAATCATCACTTGTGGTGTCATGCTGAGTACGGCACGGGCCAGCACCTGCCGTTGACATGTTATTTCACTGCTTACCTGTTTTTAAATGTACACTGTTGCCAACCTGTTGGGGCTTTCTTCCTGAATGTTTGCTTTACGCGTTTAGGTCATGCATCAGATCTCTCTTTGTTTATTATTATTATTATTATTATTATTATTATTATTATTATTATTATTATTATTAGTTCTCTTTATTCTACGGGCGTCACGGTTGTGCGGCATCGTTTCACCAGTACGCAGCATCGGTCCACCCCTGTTGTTGTCGTTGCCGCTGCTGTCCTTGTTGCTGTTTTTGTTGTCGTTGCTGCTGCTGTGGTTGTTTCTGGCTTGTCAGACTCCTCGTGCCGCTTCGCCTCTCGTTCCTTACTGTTCCGGTAAGGCTCACTCGTCTTCTGATTTGTTACCCTGTGATTCCAGCCAGTCGTCGTCTCTACGAGATACGCTTCCGATCTCCTTCGTTTTTATATTTTCACGAGCGCAATGCAATGGAGCATCGCCTCACTCCGAGCCGTTTCTTCACTCCCTCATCTCTTTGATCTTGCACCGCACGTCGACACGATCTCTTCCGTCCATCCCGCAAACTTGCACTGTTGTGTTCTCTCTAATTTATAGTGGTCGAGCCGCCTACCATGATGCCGTATCACTTGGTCCGGGAAATTCTGTTGGTGCAACCTACTACATGACCTATCATACTGTACTCAAAAAACCGGACGATTATGTGGACGCCTTGAAAGGTGCTCGTAGGCTTGCAGATGAGGTTAACACTCAGTGGCGGGCGAATCGCTCCATTCCAAGGCGTAGCTCCTATCCTCCCCAAGACTATGTTTATCCCTATAGGTGAGTCGTTTTTTTTACTTTGGATAATTATTTGGATCGACCCTCAGTACTTCACTATTTGGCTACTCTGCTTAAGCCTCGTATCTTTGGTGACTCATGTTGTGCAGTATTTGCCTTTTTACCCACATATAGATCCAGTGACAATCAGGGGACAGCATTTTTTCATGTATTCCCTTTACTACACATATCAGCTCTCACCTTTAACTTGATATCGCTCCAGCGATCTTTCTCGAGCTTTGTTTCCGTATGACAACCACTTTTCATTGAGTCCACTCTTCTCTTTCCACACAGCGTGTTTTACGTGTTCTACGAACAATATTTGACCATTGTGAACGAAGCGGTAATCCAAATCGCTGTTTGCCTCCTCGCTGTGTCGGTGGTCACCTTCCTGCTTCTGGGACTCAATCTGGTCGCAACGCTTATGGTTCTCCTTGGGGTGGCGTACATTGTGCTCAGTTTGCTCGCGATGATGGTCCTGTGGAACATCGACTTGAACGCTTTGTCTCTAGTCAACTTGGTTGTGGTGAGTCTCATTCGGGCTTTTCACTGGAAGATATTCGGTCCCATTTATCCACTAGATTAGTCTTCCTTTCGAGGTCAGCCTTTGTTCTCCGCAGTGTGACCAACAAGATCGAACGGGGACAGGATTCTTTACATCGGAACAGTACGGTGTTTGCATACTACTGTGGTGCTGATGTGGAAACAAATGCTAAATGACGCACTTATGTCGAAACCAAATAGAGTACAGCAAGCCAATGGACATTGTCTCAGTTAAACGCCAATCAGATGCAATCAGGGAAATAGAGGAGAAGTCGCTGACGTCTGGTACAATTCTGAGCCGTATTCATTCACAGCGGCGTCTTAGTGACAGTGGGACCATCCGTATGATATGGTAAAACAATTGCCATGGAACGAATGCAACTCAACTAAAGGCTTGTCATGCGGCTGCGTTTGCTATTTCTCTGACAGTTTCACCTTATTCGCGTTCATTTTCCTCCCCACACTTTACCCCAATGCTGTTTGGGTGCTCACGCAGTAAAGATTTTCTGTTACCGTGTCTTCTGTCCGTTTAAACAGAACTGCTCACTTGGACTGAGCCTTCACTTGGCCAAGCGAGACCCCAACATTTTGCTGCTAACCACCCTCACTCTTGGCACTACGGCATCGTCCGCTTTCTTTGTTAGGCTCTATTTGCAACGTCGCACTGCCTATGTGCTTTGCATTCGGCCTTCTGTCTGGGTAGTGTCAGCTGTCTTAACTCTTCTTTAACTGTCCGTTTGCCGGATAGTCTCCTACAGAAGATGATTTTCACTCTCATTACCAGCCATTCACGGCACTGGTATGCGTCACATGTCGGTGCTGTCAATCCGGTGGAATCGTGTAGTGTGAACATCAATTTGTTGAAAATCTCTGGCTGTGCTCAGTCGCTTAGCCTGTAATTATTTGGAAAAGAATACTTACGTTCCATAACAACCCTGTATTCTTCCACTCCCGCTGGTCTGCAACTGATGCCGGTTTCCGCTGCTGCAACATCACAGTGACTGATTTTGGTGTGAGTGTATCATTAGATCTGCTCATGGGTGGTATTATCTTTTCGCAACCAACCGTCGAGTGTCTCATCGGCTGGTTGGAAGTGTTCTGTCCAGGCCAAACAAGTCTTCTCCATGAACCGTGTGGGTTTTCGGACAGTCGCTCGCGTCCTTTTAATAGGAGTAGATTTTTTTCGGGTTTACCTAAATAAGAATGCTACGATTGCTTCCGCTTGGGTGGTCAACGCGCCCACGATTTTGCCAGTTTCACTTATTCTATCATTTAATAGGATGGATCAAGGGAGGCAGATTCTGAGTAAAGAATTCTTTTCGGTAATTCTCATCGGATTGAAACATTACATGATGACGATAAGATGCTAAATGTGCCTGATTGGGCTACGTATTGCTCGCAATGTTTAACTCCAACAGGAAAAATCAATAACTCACGGCCTCATTGAAGATGGCAAATTAGGTACAGGGGAAATCACAGCTGAACTTGTAGGCCACGGTAGAAGCAAAGGAGGTACAAACTGCTTTTGTACGCATAAATCTGCCTTGAGGTGGCGGATATAGATAGCTTCCGCAATAGAGAGGAGATGCTTCCTGAATCCACGCAAGTAACGTTCGGGGGTAGTATCAATGACTGTAAAATCGTTTTCCGTCCCTGCGTGACCGCATTCTAGAAGGTGCGACATGATGGAGCTGTTACTAGACCTCGCTTTGCCTTTGTAAAACCGCTTCGGGATATGTTCACGAATCCTTGTAGTACGACCCACTCGTCGTGCATCACAGGAATGTGTCGCCTGTACGCCGTAACGGCGCTTCGCTACCGCGCGACCACCACCAATCGCGCACGAGCTGAGTATACCGCGAGGACGCCCACCCCTACGCGGATTCAAACCGGTGACCTTATGGTTGTAAACTAGGCGTACAGACCACTCGGCCACCGGGCACCACAGAAGCACGAGTACAGATAAACAACAATTGATCGAGCCACCGGAGGTTTTGTGAATAAAGCCTCGTTGTAGACGAGCCGCGAAATAAGTGTTTTCAACAGCGTCTTTCAGATGTTTGAACAGGTTATCAGCCGCACTGTCGCCTTTGAAAGGAAAACGCACAATTAGTTTTTTCCTAGGTAAATTCTTCTTTGGTGGTTTAATCTTGCGTTCTTTCAAATGTTTGAGAATGAATTTATCCGGATACCCATTTGATCTTAGAGCTTCACCGATTCTCTCCAATCCCTTCGTGATGGTGTCCGGTGTGCAAATTCTGTATTCCCGGAAGGCAAAAGTGCGGACTAGATTTCGTTTGTATTGTAGTGGTACCGCACTATAGAAGTTGGTGCACTGTGCAGTCCAAGTATTTTTCTATACACTCTGCTGCACGATCCATCAGTGTTTCTGATGATATCAACGTATAGGAACGGTAGTCGGTTTCCGGACTCGTGCTCACATGTGAATTATAGATTCTGATGCACATCATTAAAGGCTTCCAACAGTTTCACAGTCTACACTTTCGATTTGCAGAGGATAAATGTGTTGTCCACTTAACGTGTGTACATCTCAACTTCGTTGATGTGCGTTCCTAATGCGTTATGCTCCAATTTCGCCATAAAGACATCTGCTAGAAGGGGTCCTAATGGTGATCCCATGGCAACTCCATCCATTTGGCGATACATCTCCCCGTTGAAAGTGAACTGCACGTTTAAGGTTCATCTGAGTAGCATTTCCTTCAGAAGGTTTTCCGAGAGTTTTATAGATACATTCAGTTGCCGTACTAGTTCACAAACATATTCCACTGTTTCTAATAACGGAATACTCGTAAACAACGACTGGACGTCAAATGGTGGCATCCATCTGTTGTTACGATTCACTCCCCTTGTCTTCTCAATAAACTCGCGCAATAAGTGCAGACGTTGTGCGCAGCGGTTCCATCTTCTCAACCATCCAGTAAGTTATCAATTGTTACGTAGAGCTAACCATGTCCAATATGGGACGCATTGGTACGCCCTCCTCTGTGCTAGATGTCGGTCAGAAGGTCACAGCTTTTCGAATTTGCATTCTCTGATAATATTTGCTTTCATCCTTCATCGGAGCAAATCGGTCAATTTTTTTAACTCTTCTCTATTATCCTTTTCTACTGTTAGATTTTGAAACTTACGTTCCTCACTAAGTATATGTTGCATCTTACTAACATACTCAGTTCTATCCATTAGAACTATATCCGAACCATTTTTTCGGCTTAGAGATAATTACCACTTTGTTTAACCATAACTCTCTAAGTGACTGCATATGTTCGCTTGTAAGAATACCACTACTGGCTGGTCTAGCTTTAATGTAATCATGACATGTTTACTAAGCTGGATAACATGTTCTCAACGTTCCCTGGCGAATTTGGTGACAGGTCTCGCGCCTGCACTATTAAACTCTCCAGCTGCACCTTAATGCAGCCTGGTTAACTTTATTTTTACAAGGAATGCAAAACTTAGGGCCTAGTAATAACACATTTAGTAGCTTTGGGCTAAGCACGATACTAGAAAGGTTAAACACGTACCGCTCTGGTTTACTCGAAAAGTTCACTTGCGGCACTTGTTTATTTAACGAGCTAAACAACTTCTTTCTTCTCTGTTGTGTACCTCTTGCTTTTTAACTTGTTCTACGTATGCTTCGAAAGGCTTTCCTAACTCTTCCGATAGACCTATGACGGCATGCATCCGTTGTGAGATGAATCTTTCCAGCTCCAATAGCTTCGTGCGAATGTTATCCATATAGTTGTGCGTGTGCCTCCTCAAGTTCTCTCATTTGCCCTATATGTTTGTACCTGTCCGCTAGGCGGCCATTGTTATAACACTTTCTAGTTGCTTCGACTCTGTTAGTCGGAACATATGAAACGCTTTTCCTTGACTGTACTGCATGCGCAGAGCAGCCACTTGAATTCGAATTTGTACGGCTAAACAGACCTATCAGCCAGGGGTGTGTGCACACGCGAGCTGAGATTGTAAGCAAAACGCGTAACCTCGCGCAGATGTACCGTGACCCAGAAAAGTAAGACTGGTCGTTAACAACAGTTCGTTTGTAGACTAAGCCAAACGTAAACATGCCTTTTGCACCCATCGCGACGAAACTGGACCATAACGTGGTGCGATCATTTGCGCACCTACAAACGCGGTCACTTGCAGATGGGAGTTGGTGGGTTTGCACCTATTTGACCTATTTGGGGTGAATGAACATTTTAGAGCCTGACGTAGAACCAAACAAAATACAAATCCCTCGATTTTTTAACATAACCTCCTACAAGCGCAACACACTTGCTCCAGCGGTGCTGAAGCGCTTTTACCCCAGTGGAAAAGAACTTCAGATTGTGACTCCAAATAGGCTTCTACGGCTCCAATGACGTCACTATCGTTGAGAAAACGTTTGCCAGCTAATGCTTCTTTCAATTTTGGAAATAGATGGAAGTCAGTAGGAGCCAGATCTGGTGAATAAGGTGGGTGAGGGAGAAGCTCGAACCCGCAATCATGGATTGTTTTCTGTACAATGGAAGAGCTGTGAGCTGGAACCTTGTCACTGTGGAGAAGGACGCCTTTAGTCAGCATTCCTGGCCTCGAATTTCTTCTGAGACATTTCAGAAGCTCACAATAATACTTACCGGTGATGATATGACCTTTAACAAGGAAATCAATCATCACCACACCTCGGGAATCCCAAAAAACAGATGCCATTACCTTGCCAGCTGACGGCGTGACCTTGGCCTTCTTTGGCGTAGGAAATGATGCACTCTTCCATTGCTTTGACTGCTCTTTTATTTCTAGTTGAAACTGGTGAACCCAACACTCATCCACAGTGAGGAATCGCGCAAGAAAATTATCGGCATCAGTCTCAAACAGTTCCAAATTGTTCTTCGACATCACTTGCCGAATGCGCTTCTGATCCGGAATCGGATGACGTGGCACCCATCGAACGGAAACCTTTGAATAGCCTAACACTTTTATCAG